CTTGCAGTATTTTGATTACTTATTATTAGTATTTTGATTACTTATTATTAGTATTTTGATTACTTATTATTAGTATTTTGATTACTTATTATTAGTATTTTGATTACTTATTATTACCTTTTATTACAGTGCACTTCCTGTTTTGAGATTGGTTGATTGATTGATTGATTGATTGATTGATTGATTGATTGATTGATTTGCTGGGCTTATATGCTGCTGCAATCCAACAGGACTCTGAGCAGCTAAGAATTTCTGCAGTTGACTCTTCCAGGAGATAAACAACAGGCTACATTTACACTATAGGCTCTCACACATGCTGGGCCCAACGTGTGTAGTAGGATAAAATCTTGCCATGGTAATTTGAGTGGATAAGAAGACTCAACAACAATTTTCACCATAATGGAGATTTATGAACTTGGCATGCCTATCAAAATCATGGGATATGAAACTTGTATCCAGAGCCCTAATCTGACTATGAGTGTGGAGACCCAGGTTCTAGTCCTCCTCTAAGCATGGAAGCCAACTGGGTGACATTGGGCCAGTCATTCCCTCTCAGCCCTCATCAACATCAGGCTGTATGACAAACCAGCTGATAAACAAAACAATCCCATCATACACTGGGAGCTTTGCTGTAAGAACTAGGCAAGGACAGTGCAAAATCCAACAGACTCTGCAGCCACACGAGACCAACACAAAGAACAACAATCCCATTATACATATACATTAAGTAATCCCATTATATATACAGTAAGAAAGATGCACTAATGAAGTTAATAAATTTCACCACTTAGCACAGTTGAACTTGTTTTCAGCATTGAGATTTAAAACATGTAACAATATCTTGTAATGGAGTCAGTTTCTACAAATTGCCTTGACGCGAGTTTATCAAATTCAGCAGCAAGTTATATTCAAAACACGTAAAAACAAATACACGAAGAAAGGCTGCTAAGGCAAAGAGGATCAGAGGATCACTTTTGTAGTTAAGAAAACATATTAGAAAACATTCTTGCCTCTTGGGAAAGACTCCTTTGTTGACGGCGCTTTGGAAAGCATGCAGGTGGTGCAAGGACTTGTGACCTGGTCCATCAGCCCTGTCTGTTTGGCAGGTGCTTTCGCATCCTCTTAAGATAAGCTCTGCCGCTGTGGGAAGTGGTGCAGCTCTTGCTAAGTGGCCAGCTCAAATTAGATGTGGGAGAAGTCGAGAGATAAGGACACTACTTACTGATGAGGCAGATGAATCCCAAGGGAAATAAGTGAACTCTTCAGACCACTCTGCTGTTCTCCAAACCGGCAGGGTCAGCATTTCAAAAATAAACTATGCTAATCAAATTAAGATGCTTCCCCAAAGTGTTATCCATGGATGAAATCATCTCATTTCCAGTTTAATATTATAGCCCCAAAGTTAAGCAATTTGTATCTAAGAAGAAAGGGTGGGGAGGAGAGAGATGCACATGGGCGTGTGTAGATCTCCCTATACATGGACAGAACTTTAGCTTTGGAACTAGAATGCACGCCTTCCAAGCACACTGTGGAAAGAAAGGACTAACTAAACAGCTATTCACATGCAGCTAGATGACGATGAAGAGGATAACAACAACAGCAACTCCTTTTAATTATTAATATAGTCTCCTCTCCATCTGCAAATGAGCAGAAGCCTGGCAGAAGTATCATTTAGACCCACTGTTCCACTTTCAGATACGTCGTGTGCTTTTAATATATTTTAGCTCTCAACAGGAAAATACTCCATGGGAGAAAGATATGCTAATCATCTTCTCAGTAAAAATGTAGTTTGTTTTCCTCATTTTAATCAGTGAAGGCCTAATCAAAAGCTTCCTTGTGTTTTAACTTTTCTTCTGTAACCATCGACCATTGATATTTTTCGTCTAGGTTCCTTGTGGTGTTATTCTATGCTGCTGCTTGATCCAGCGCTAACATGTTAATCCTAATGTTGTACTATAAACAGGGTTCTACCAGGGAAAGGATTTTGACACCACTAATCTAAAGCTTTCAGCTCCTCCTATTGCATGGCCATTAATCCATTCACAGAGTGTTGGAAACATAGCAAAGGAGCCAGAACAATTGTGTATTCATCGACACTGTTGAAAGTAATACCAGCACCTGTTTCTGTTGACTGAGAGATTATCACACTTCCACATTCATTATTAGGGTTAAAGGGTATGGTTGGAAAGATACCTTATGCCTGCTGACAAGCAGCAGGTGCAGCCATAGATCTGCTTGCATGTGAACATTTAGGCAGCCAAAATTTTGCCAATGGTAGTCTTTGCTATTGTACTGTAGATCATTTCCATCTTTTTGTCAGAAACTTCATTTCATACTGCCAAATGTTTCATTGGCAATCACCAAAAGGAAATTTGGCTCCCTGCATTTTTTCAAAGCATTTGAAAGTGGTATTCTAAGGTACAGTAGTTCATTTTTTTTAATGAAATGTTAATTTCTTAAAGGTACTCTTTTAGTTAAACAGAAGTGATTGCAAGTCTTCTGAGACTGGATCCATACATACTCCTCCTTTTCCTCCCCTGCCTGGTAGTAAGATTTTTCGCTGGAAATGTTTTGGTGATGTCTCTCAGCTTTCCTCCAGTGTCTTTATTAAAGTTCATTAAACATCCCCTTTGTTTCTGTTTCAGGCTATGATTGAATTATATTCTGTTATTTTAGGTAATTCAGCCTCTTTTAGATCTTGATCAGAATCGTAGCAAGTTGAAGTTATATATTGGACATTTGACAGCCCTATGCCATGACCGGGACCCTCTGATTCTCCGTGGACTCACTCCTCCCACATCTTACCACCTGGATGATGACCGTGCAGCTTGGAAGGAGGAGCTGCAGAAGATGACCCTGGAGCAGGTCAGAATCTTACGCTTTCGTTGGTATGCTTAAACTGAGAGCGGGTCATATCAGTTATTTGGAAGCCGTGAGGGTTAATGTTTGAAATTGTTTTCTTTTCTAAATAGAAGTGTGTAGTTTTTTTACTTCAGGATAAAAATTATTTAGCATTGCTACTGTTAAATAATATGGATTCAGAAATATTAGTATTTTCACAGCAGGTTTCAGGGATAGAATTCCATATTTCTTTCAGAAGAATGGATTTAAAAGCCCCCAAATTCAGTAGCGTCAGCCTACCACATATTAGAGTAAGTAAAATAATATATATTAAAGAGCAAAGTCTTGTAAGGTCATTTTATCCAGAGTGTAAAATTACTTAACTACACAGCTTCTGAGAAATCCTAGCTGATCTATGTCACACTGCCCACAGACATGCCAGAAGATCCAATTAAATTTTCCCCAGGCCCGCCCTAATTACAATTAACCGCAGTTTGTGGAGAGTACGATAGCTTAAAAGCCTGAGACTCATTCATGTATTACTGAGCTATTAATCATTATATCCAGACAAGGCTAACATACACCCTGTTTTCCAAAATGAGTTCCACACATTTCTGGTGCTCAAACTATAAATGAGAAAATCTCCCTTTGAATTAATCTGGAATAGAATCTTGAGTGTATTTGTATTGAATCTATATGAAAGGAATTAGCAAGTAACCTAAAAATATGCTACTGCTGTATTTCGGCTAAAATAATTTTCTCTTTATAAATCCAAAATATCCTAGTTAATCAGACTGAAAATTGTGACAAATTAATATTTTTCTTCCTATGTTTGTATAACCTAGAAATTCTAGACAATATTTTTCTTATTCTGTATATGGAAAGCTTTGCTTTGAAGAGAGTTTGTGTCTTTTTGTTTTTTGTTTCGTGAAAATATGGTAGTCCCCGGGTTAAGAACGCCCAGGTTACAGACAACCCATAGTTAAGAACGGAGCCTATTGTAGCAAAATTCAAGTTAAATACACAATGGTTTGAGTTCATTACATAATACTACTTATACAGTATAATACAATAATACTGTTCTGGCTTGCATACAAATTTGACTTAAGGACAGACCTTGGGAACGGAATTCATTCTTAAACTGGGGACTACTTGTATCTAAGTGAAACTTCAGCAAAATGTCATAAACTCAAAATAGGATAAAACAGAATATATATCAAGAGGTTTACAGATAAGTATTAAATCTGAAAAATTATTGTATGGATAAATAATTTTGCAAGAGTAAACCACTTGTTTAGGTCTTGAAGAATGGATATGGATCCTAAAAACAGATGTGCACATTTATTTTGCTGATACAAGTTTTATGTTTCGGTTATATTTCTTCATTATCCTTATAACTGCTAGATAACTAATGATGTGGAAAGTCAGTTTCACCCCAGATTGTTTCTTTTACTTATCGTAACAAAGCTTCTGACATGGCTTGGTATCTTTTCAGAGTATGTATGTATGTTGCATGCATTTATGTATTTATTTAATTTCTATCCCGCCTTTATTTTGTACAACTCAGGACAACATTACATAATGCTCCTGTCTCAAGTTCTCCCCACAGCAACAATCCTGTGCGATGGGTTGGGCTGAAAGAGAGGCACTGGCCCAAAGTCACCCAACCACCTTTCCATGACTAGAATTCCTGGTCTCTCAGTTTCCAGTCCAGCACCTTAATTAACACTAAACTACACAAAGCATGTACTAAAGTATTGCTTGTTTCTGTATCATGCACATTTGAATATACCTAGGTAACCATATGTTATACTTGATACTTAGAAGCAACTTTTTTTGACTTCCAAGCAATTATATTGAATCATTCTTACAAGGAGCAGATTGCAGTAATCCAGCCTTGAGGCTAGGGATCACTAAAATCAGTTCTCCTTCAAGCAGGAGTGCAATTAATCAGCTGAAGTTGATTAAAAACACTTCCCTTTATATGGTTGTTCAGTACTAGTGCAGCCCCACCAAGGTCAGGCCTATCAAACTCTGGAGTCTACTCCCCAGAAAGAGCAACTTCTCAAGCTTATTCTTCAATATCTTGCCTTTACCATCTAGAGCAGTGTTTCTCAATCTTGGCAACATTAAGATGGGTGGACTTCAACTCCCAGAATTCTAGAGACACCCAAAGCCTTTAGAAGTAGTCAATCTAGAGCTTCCAAAAACAGTTGAATATTATCAGCATACATATGACAACTAACTCCAACCTGCAAACAATCCTTCTTGATGGCTTCATACAGATATTAAATAAGGTGGAAGATAATATACAGTAGAACCTTGCAGGATCTCCAAGAAGTCCCAGAGAGTCAAGTAAATGTATATTTATATTACCTTCTGATACTGACTAAAGAAGTCACAGTAGAATAAAACTGCATTTTAATTCTATGCACTCCAAAAGCATACCATGGTGATGTTTCAGCCATAGTAGTAATGCTCTGATGCCAGAGAGTGGATTGTATTGGTGGAATATTTTTTTTGTTGTTTTATGAATTGTGTATGTTTATAATTTGCTGTGAGTCCATTGGAGGTTGGTAGTCTCATAAATATGGTAAATTAATAAATGTCCATTCTGGAGTATAAACAATGTCTCACTTTCTCTTTTTACTGCTAAAACTCAGCGACCAAGGCTGTTTTTGTGCTAAATCTGTGTTTGAATCCAAACTAGAAAGTGTCTAGATAACCAGCTCTTTCTACAAGTTCCCAATGCCATGGATTCATTGAGAGTCTTCCCTGAAGATGCAATATTTTTCATCAGCCATAACTTAAAATTGGTCAAAATCATAGATTTTGCATAAAATATGGTCCCTCCATTTCACTTGGCTTTACTTTAACTTTACCATCTAGGCAATTTTTCAATATACTATGTTGTTAAATTTATTCATAAATATTTTTGTAACAATTCCATAGTAAGTTTATCCTTTTAGAAATATATTTTGGACTGACATGTAAATAATTCGTGTTTCCTAACACTACTGAATACCAAATTGGCACAAAAACAATGTTCACTGGGGATTTTAAAGTCAGTAGAAAATACATAGAATCTGCCTTATTATACATTTTTTATAATGTATATAAAGCTAAATCAATTTTGAATTCAAGAATTTTCTGACATGGCAGTTCCATTTCTCCACAATTAAGACTTGTAAATTTATCTTACGTTTCTGAAGAGTTTTATTAATTGGAGACCTGATAAGCGTTCAGCTTAAGTGATGCATCTCCTCAGATACTGGATCACACACCTCAACTTGTGAAGTCACAGCTTACTATTCAGTTTTAAAGAAGAAAACATGTAAGAAATTCAGTTAAGACAACTGGACAGAGAGGTCAGTTGATGTCATACATTCTGGTATGAAAATGATGGTAGTAGGAAATTGGTTTGGAAGATATAAATTCAAATTCCAGCAAAATATGTGTCTTGGGGAAAGACCCTGAATTTGTGGACTACTGTACTATTTTTTTTTTTTTCATGACATAAAAAGTGATGTTCTGTGCAGTGTGTGGGTGACCTCAGAACATTCTTTCTGTCCCTGGGAATGAATTGTCTGAAAGTTATTCCATGAATTTAGAGCATAGCTAACATATATTCAAGAGAGACAACAGAGACATAGTACTTAGTTGAAGGACCACCAGGCAATACCAGGAGTGAAGGTTAATCTGGGAATTCCAGAAGAAAACAACAATAAACCCCTCTGATGCTGTTTGCCAAGAAAACTACATGGATATGTCCATTAATTCATCAAGGGCCAAACTTGAATATGTTAACTTTAAAAAAATATCTCAGACAAGGATCCATTATTTCTGAACTTCAAATTGTTCTTGCATGGTGCTGATCTAAGTTCAAGACAACATCTGGAAATGTGGTACCTTCTAGACAGAATAGTGGGGTACAAAAAGCTCAAACCTTTTAATATATTTTAGGCTTGAAAATTTTTTGGAATTTTTTTATCTAACTGGTCAAGGAACTGCAGTTGACTTCAGTATATATTCAGAGACAATCCACGATTGCCTCCAAATAACATGGGAATGACCCCTTTGTTTTTTAACAGCCCTTAGAGGGAAAACTGAATCTTGATTTGGCAGTTTAAAGGTCCCGAGTGTAGTGACTGAAAGTTGTTTTGTCTTTTCTTGCAGCTTCATGACGAGCTGGAAAAGGGTGAGAAGGACAGCACAGAGCTACAAGAGTTTGCAAATGCCATTCTCCAGCAGATAGCTGATCACTGCCCAGACATCCTGGAGCAAGTTGTCAATGCACTTGAGGAATCATCGTGACTGAAGCCAGCACTACTCCTCCACAGCAGCCTGCCACGGGGTCAAGCCCCACCAGTTCAAGGAGTCATGAGGATATAAAAGCATATGAAAGGGGGAGGGGGAAAAACTTTTGGTGCACCTTTTTATAAACAAATGAACATAAACTGGTAATTCCTCCAGTCAATAATTACTGAACCATGCCTGCGTTCATCCTCTTACTGCCTTTCTCCATTGGAATATGCCTCACAGTTACTTTCCCATTGGCTCTGGGATGTGTCTGCTCTGAAATTTGCCAAGTCTAGGAAGTGTGAAGAGGCACTTGCCTTTATTTTACTTTCCAAATAGTAAAACTCTTTGGCCTGTGTGGGGAATTGGATGTCCTCTAATAGTGTCTTATAATTGGCCAACATCCATTTAGCTAGATTTGCTGCTTATGTCGCTACAGGAGTATTTGTCCTAAAGGAGAGGTGGGAAGTGTCCCAAATTCTTAGGGATGCCTTCTCTTAAATAAGCACGGATACGTTTTTGGGTTTTCCTTATTGTTCTGCTTATTGTGAGCCTCACTTTTGTTTACCAAATGAGCTATGAAATGCTGGTGGCTATTCTCTTCAGCTCGTTTTCTTGGTATTTTAGTCAATTTTACTATAACACTATTGATATATTGTTGCATTTTTTTTAATAGTGCCTTTTTTTGTTCCACTTCTCTCATTTTTATCTGTTTCTGGGTTCTTAGGGAGATGCTTCATACCCACTGTGGTATCTTCCAGAGCCTCCATCAATGTTTGAGCCTAGAATAGCTTCTCTAAATGACATTATGTTGACATATTACAATTCACAGCCTAATTAGGAATCTGAATATTCATTTGAATTGTATTCATTATGAAAACACATTTTGGCAATGGGCACTGCTACTTCTATGCATAATTTATTCTTTAGGCATTCACTGGAACAAACTTTGGTTTTCCTATATTCCCATCTTCGTTAAACTAATGTTCTTATTTCAGGTTTCAGGGTCAGGAGGAACCTATAGAACATAAATATGCTCCTTCCTTGACAATGAATGCAATGTCTACAAGACAGTCTCACTCTTGAAGACTTTTTCTTCCCTTCCAGATGTTATATTTCATCCTTCATCAATAACATTCTCTTTTCACCAGCTTAGACTTTGTCCCCTTTACCCCACCGCCCCATCCCTTCCCAACACATACTCATCTTCAGATCTGGAAAGCCAGCTCTCATGATGCCATGAATACAATTATAAAAGAATGCAGTGGGGCCAATTGGATGTTCATGTTGTCTTGGGGATGCTTCAGAAGGAGGACTTGGTTTTGAATTATAAACAGTATTTCTTTCTATGGATTTCCTAATGAGAGGTTCATATTGGTCTTAGTTAACATCTCCATGGTTTTGGAAATCTGTAATGATAGCTTTAAAGCCAGTGGCAATAAGAGCCTCTGGTTTATGCTTTTTGACATAAAAGAGAAGAGACATGAATGATCTTAAGTTGGCAGTTGCCTTTACCGGAAGGCATATAGACAGCAACTTTACATACCAGAGCCACGCCTTTGGCCCTATTGTTTGAGTAGCACATTTTGGTAGGAGCTGCTGCTTTGAAATCTTCCTCTCAGGTTTTTCTCCTTCATCCCTAATTACTCACTGTAGGAATTTAATGCTGCCCGTAAAACCATCTCAGCCTTCAGGCCTAACATTTGCCACCAATACTTACTGGTTATCCTATTGAGTTATATGGTCGGATCTCCAGCTGCCCTTGTTCCCTGCTGTAAAATAATCCACTCTCTGTAGGAAAAGCTCTGGAATTTCCTTATCTCTGGTTGAAATTACTTCTGCTTGTAAACTTATTGAGATTCTCCTCCATAGCCTTTTTTCTTTTTGCTCTGTTTGATGGGGGAGTTTTTCTGAAAGATGGCGAAGATAGTTTGTGGTTGTTATTTCATTCTCACGTACTTATTGCACCGTTTAGAAGTCACAGTAGTTTTCTATGCTAATGCTTCTTGAGCATTAGGAGTTTTAATTCATCCCCCACAATGTGGCTACACTAACTCAAAACTCGATCTGTGTTACAAAAGGTATCATATTCCCAGAACTATGCAAAAGCCCCACTGCAGTGAAATGGTGATAAACGTTGTTGGCATTCCATTCACCATATTTTCCTGGGGGGTAGTGGGGAGAGAGATTTGTTAAATTAGTCTTTATTGGTATACAGTAGCAGCGCGCTAGCTGTTTGAAGCCTTGCCATTCTAACCACAGATATGGAATGGGTCTCCCATGTCGCTCCTCTTTCCCTCCTTATACATAACTTTTTTATCCTCTACCATGAGTTCTCTTGCATTTTAAGGGTGGATCTAAGCCCTCAGTGAAGACTACAGAGAGAAAGAATGTACAAACAAGTTCTTATCTGCGAACAATGATCTATCAGCAGTAAATCACTGCAGGTAATCTTGATACAATTTGAAAAGACAGTCAGTCTTTCTTCATTTCTCTAGGAACTGTGGGGCTTGAATATAAGGTGTTGGCCATGTCATCTGGAAATTCTGAAAGCTCCAATCACAACTTCTCTGGAGGTTGTAAAGTTAGAAGTAACTCTGGAAGAACATGAGCTTCTTATTTCCTTTTAATCATAAGTAGAAGATGGTTGACAATCATGTAGATTTAAACAATGTTGCCTTCATTATAAGACAGAATGAAATGCACAGATCTAGAGTTTATAGATAATATCTGGTAATCTGATTTTTCACTGAACAGTCGCAGATCTCATCAGTTTTGATATCTTCATTAGCCTGCTACAAATAAGATCAAGCCTTTGTGTCCAGAAAATATACCCCTGGACATTTTTCTGTAAAAGCACCCTTTTTTTTATGCACCTTGTTTCTCACTTCAGTTTTACATAACTTTTGTTTAGATTAGCCACGTTAATAGATTTTGCTTGTTGGGTAATAATAAGACTTGTCTATTTTAAGAAATTTTTCTTTCAAGCTCTAAAAAGCTAATTTTCAGGTAATAAAATATGTTCACTATCTCCAAAAATGCTACAGAGAGAGAATTTGAACATTTTTTATTAAATTGGTACAATTAAGAGCTTTCTGAAAGATTAAGGTAATTTCTTATCAGCTTCATTGGATTGTTTAATGATCCAGATTCTCATTCTAATTTCATCAAAACCAGATTTCAGACATATTTAAAAGAAATGGAACTTCAGCTTCAGAATGATACAGTTATAAGGAAAACGAGACCCATCAATGTAAAACACCTTCCTTTTGTAATGATTCTATTGCAATCAATACCTTTGGCCCTTGTTTTTACTTAGAAATGCCAAGTACTATCTGAAAATCCCAAAGACTTGCAATAACTAAAGGAATAAAGAATATAGTAACATAGATGTGCCATCAAACACCATTTTAGAAGAAAAAAATGTTTATGTGATGTTTGTGGGTTTTTTTAAGATCACTATATGGGTATATATATATATCTACACCCATGTTCATCAGTAGTTTTAAACATTTGTTTTCTCTGTCTATTAATTCTGATATTCTGTTAGGAAAATATCTCTGTCTGAAAATAAAATAAGTTTCCTTCTTATGTCATATAAGAATGTCACCATAGCATAGAATCCTGGAGTGACCTTGGTCAAATGAAAATAGGATACATTTTTGTCGCCGTTGTTGGAATCTGATAGATAAGATACTACTAGTAGAAGTGAAAGCAGATTGCTGTATGTTTAACCCATTCTCCCTTGGTAAAGGTGACAGAGCAGAGAAATCGGGCAGCGGGCAGTTGGGGGCTGCCAAAGTTAACAAGACAAACTCTTCTCTTGCCAAACACTCAGTCTTATCAGTGCAACCGGTGCTGTTTTTGTAATAAAACCATTTTTTACTTTTTCCATTTATAAAGGAAGCTGTTACCTTCTGAACAAAATGGCTGTCTGTTGACATTTTTTTAAACGAGAGAATAAAAGCATTTCCGAACTTTTTAGTGTCAAAGCGTAAACATAAGAATACTGATTTTTCCAGTGCGTGTGGTGAGTGCTGTAACCCTGTCATCATTGGTATTCTTGAATCTTTCAGGGTTTTTTAATTTTATTTTTCTGTTTTGTTCTCTGCTTGTCAATTTATTGTCTGTGTGGTCCTCAGGCTGGGGCAGTTACTGACTGTGTGTCTATTGTCCGACTTTAAATAAAAAAGGTAGAGTAGAAATGGAAAAGTTGTATTTTAAAAATATAAACACTAAATGTATTGTCCAAAGGAATTCAAATATGAATAGGCAAAGTTGTGAACTCCTCCTCACAGTTGTCTAAGGAAACAAATATTTTAGGCTCAAGTTACCTTTCAGTTGCCTTTGTCAGACTAAGGAAGACCAGACCAGTGTGGCCTTCATTGGAACATCACTAATCCTTGACTTTCTCACTGTATCACTATGGTAACATATGGCGTACCTTTAAAAGAGAAAATAAAATTAGTCTTGCCATTGTTTTCTCTGAACTTCCCTAGTGATTTAGTAGTGCACATTTAAACTGAAGGGATGTACTGAAGCTTATGTGCATACTCTGAACTTTTTTTTACGCATAATTTAAGTCATATTTCCAATGCCTCTGCCAATATTTCCATTGTTCCTTTGAAAACATAATCTTAAAGGGCTTGTCATTGTGGTAGAAGATTTCTACTACTGCTCCAGGGTTTGGCTAACTTAAATATGCATAGCATAATTAGATTTATTATTGCTGCTAATCATATCTTACCAGACATGAATGTACTTTTGAAAGTTTAAACCTGGTTAGTTTTGGGAATATCTATCACCTTTTCCATCTGAAACAGCCAGTGTTTCAGCAGAGATATATCTGATTTACTATCAACTGTTCCTGCCAGAATAAGAACACTGAATTTATTGCAGATGGTTTGTAATTTCACCCTTGGGACATTCTTATTAATGCTGTATCTTAAAGATTTGAGCCAAGTTTAATTCATAATTGCCTTTAATTTTTTTTCCCATCTGGTTTTGGCTTAGGTGAAGTAATGCATCTTTCAGGCATTGACCAAATAAACTAGAATTTGTCTTAATACTGTTTTCAACGGGCATCTCCTTAAATACAAATAGATCATAAGCTTGGCTTACCTATATTAGCACACTTCCATCATTGATGGCTTGTACATGCCATTTTAAGGATACGATCACATTGGTCCAAGTAAATGGGCTTATATACAAAAGGTCCTCCTATAACCTGAAATGCATGCTATTTAATTCATCCCTGCCAATACAGTATGGTTATTTTCATCGGATTCAATTCATGATGAACTTAGAACATTAAGTTCTGTTTTACCAAATTAGTCATGAAGGCAGCATAGTGGGCTGTCATAGGGGTGAAAAACTCTGGGATGGCTCCCCCATGTTTATATACCGCAGGTGGGGATAATAAAGATGGGATTTTTTTTTCTACTTGGAAAGTGATATGTTGCACTTTAATAGAGGAGGAGACAAGCTTTGCATATATAGTCTGACATACTTTGAGTTCCTTGTGGAAGGACTAGCCGTGGGAGAGAATAGATGTCTGTAACGCAAGTGCATATGCTGCCTTCAACATATATGTGTTTAATTGATGGAGTCATGTTACTGACAAGATAATGAATTGCAAAGAAATTGTGTTATATATTCAACTTTGCCTTGATAATATAAACATTTTTGTTCAGTTGTTTCTTTTTTATTAACAAAGTTCATGAGGAAATTATAAACTTGTTTAAAAATTGTATGTTACATTCTTTTTTTAAAAAAAAACACCTTCATACAGTAAATGTTAAGGTCTCCTATTCCAGCATGCAAAGTGTTCAAAGTGGTGATCAAAGTCTTCTGATTGTTACCCTTCATACAATATCCCTCATGTGGGCATGACAGTCCCCAGATGTGTAGATTTGGTGGGCTCATCTTGGGAGGGAGTTGGGAGCAGCGTTCTTACATCTTTACATTTGGCACTGAAGGTATGTTGATTATTCCACTGGTTAACTATAAACGACACATTCCTCTTTTTTATTTTTTTTTTGGTTGAAATTGGCTTGGCTTTTTTTCTTTTTTAGTACAATAAAGGATGTGCACTTCTGTATATCCTTATGGACATTAATACAGTTTTTATAACACAAAGTCCCCTTTGCATCTGGTTCTCAAACTCACCTCTCCTCCACTGCTCACTCAAGGCAGTGGCTGCTGTTACCTCTCCGCCCCTGGTGCCCATCGCGTGTATATTTCCTTGTGATAATTGCCCGAAAGAAATTTGTGTGCCTGCTTTCTGATAGTCAGTTAGTCTTTCTACATAATTCCAACCAGAGAAAATTCATGGGGGCTAAGATTTTGGCTTGCCCCCCACCTGCCATTGACAGTGTCACCCTAATATACTGACAATGTCAATTATGTCCTCACTTTGTGTACTAGAATAAAAATACCCCCCTCCTCCCATTAGTCTGATGCTACGGCCACAGTTTCAAGAGACGTTTTCCCACTTGCACCTAACTATGGCACAAACACACCCTGGCCATCTTTTTCCTGCCACATCTCCATGATGATTGCCCCCATGCCACTCAAGCACATAAGGACAGCATTTCAGCTCAGCAGGTTGGAAAGGTCCAAGGCATATAAAATGTATAAGGCTTGGCACCCAGTGTTCGGAATTGGGGTCTGTCAGAGATGGAAAATTTTCTAATTTGGATGGTATAATTAGAGGTGTGCAGAGAGACATCAGGGCAGAACAAGCCCCAGAAAGGAGAGAAAGAGACTGCATGGTGGTTGGGTGGAGAGAGCAACCCTGCCGTGATTGCGTGGCAAGACTGTCTTGTTTCTGGAACACTGAACACCATTTTACTGAATAGGAGGCACCCTATTATGAGGGATAGCTGTGGTCAGTGTGGGGGGTGACATGGCCACACAGATGTGCTTGGGGAGGGGACCTTCCTGTGCCAGTGTGAAACACCCGAGACTCACCTGCCCTACTCCCTCACCTTCAAGACAACTTGAAAAGATTTCAGCACTGCAAGTGTGTTGCCAATTACCCCTCCATTACCCTGTACAGGACATGGGAAAGTAGCAGAAATCCATCGCCATAAAGAAAATGAAAAACTCAACCTTTTTTCACAAACGGCCACCTTGTAGTGCTATTTTCCCCGTTAGGATTATATCTCCTTAATGACAAGGATCTGAGCCATGTTTAAAATCCGTTTACTGAAACAGACAGACTTTATAGTAGGAATGTGCAAACTCCTGTTCTCTAGTTGATATTTGGGACCCCGACGTCCAGAGCCCTTACTGACGGCCAAGCTGTAGGAAAGCTAAAATGCAAAACGTTTGGAGAACACAACTTATTGTACAGGCGATGTGGATTCCTGTTCTACACTCATCCTTCAGGGCTTTCTTCACTTTTAGCACCTACAGCAATTGTGCCCATTGGCTAGTTCCAACATATAAAACTTCAATACAGGTATTTAAAGTCTATCTGCAAACAATAAGTACGCTCTTTGTTTTATGGGATTTTGTTTACTTCTCCCAGTAGGTTCTGGGCAACTTATATTGTATAAAACAACTATATGGCCATAGGGACTTAAATCAGTAGACATTTTCTTTGATTCACTACCTGGGATTTAATTTTGTTGAGTAAAAGATGTCTGGCTACACATCAGACTAGGACTTATTATACCTCCTCACAGTTGATACCTTTTTTGGGAGCACAATTGTGAATGAATTAAATGCAATTTTACATTTGTCATGTGATGTCATTCACGAGGCATGCTTAGCACAAGGCATGCTTAGCATGCTTTTCCTAAATACAGTGGAACCTCAGTTTACGAATTTAATTCGTTCCGTGACTCTGGTCGCACCCCGAATTGGTCACAACCTGAAGGAAATTTCCCCATAAGG